TTAGCTGATATTCTGACCAAACCTAAATCAACAGTACCACTGTATGGCAGCATTAAAAGTAGAAATGAGAATACCAGCCAGTGATCAATGGGACTGTAAGGTTGTTGCCAACAGAGGGAGTGTTGTGATCAGACCCACTTATAGATCACACAACTTGGAATGGCTAGTACTGGGCAAGTGAACCAACAGGACAAGCGACCCTGCGTCAATGATACGTCATCGGCACACAGCAATGACAACACCAGTATCTCAACCATACATGATTATATGATAATATGACGCAGGTATATCTAATGACATAGTTGTTGAATGGCTGAATGGTTGACAGTTATTGCTATTGATGGTATATTGTATGTATTGTCTTTGTGTATAAATACTCGCTACTAGACCTCTGTATATGATCAACCTTTTCCACTCTTATATTCAATAGTCATCAATATAGCAGATCTACAATATATATCTGTCTTCTTCACGTTAGACTTAAAGTGCTATCCTACATCAACCCAAGTTGACTGTTACACCCATTGTGACAATTCTTAGACTTCTCATAACCTCGTTATTACAATAGGATACAATGGTTGCCATGGGTTACAAATTGAGTAATCGAGTAATTGAGTAGTAGAAGGTGGACTCTATGAGACCTAGGTTGCTCTTGTTAATATGATGTATATATGGTTTGGACAGAGCCGCAGTAGAGGGCCACGTCTTGTCCTCCGTCTTCCACTGGCCTTGTCTCCGATCCTAGATTCCCTCGTCCCTTGTCCTTAGTTCTAGTTACAATTACAAATTTATACCTTTGACTTTTGCCAACCTCCTCAGATATTGCCCAAGTCACTCAGTAACACCCCCGACGCTACCTTTGGCACCCTCGAGTTTGACATTACAAGACATCAACCACCTAACCCTCTATTTTTATGTCAAGCACATTCAAATCACCACAGTCACAGTTTTTTTTTTTTTTAAATCATGTTGTATTCAGCTATCTAGCTATGACAATTAATTTATATTTTTGGTATTTCCTAAAAATCAAAAAACCAGTGCCCCATATTTCGACTCAATACACTCCCATGCCCAATATTGTTCTGCCTATTTGTCTCCCTTGTATGCTGAGATATATTTGGATGTCTTCAAAAATTCTAGAAGGATTTACTTCCCCCTTTTTGTCCTCAATAAAATTTGTAATGACAGTGGTTTGATATCAGCAAATGCTAAGTCCCTCTATTTCTGGAATCTTGTACAATGAAGTAGTAAATGTTTTGTTGTTTGCCTATTTGAGTTGCAAAAATTGCAGCTTTTATCTTTCACTTTTCCAATTCTGTTTAGGTAAGCACGGGTATTTCCAATACCTGTTCTTGCCTGGAAAAATGATGATTTAACCATTCTGCTATGATCTTGAAAATTAAATGGTTGGAGAGAGAAGTTGGGTGTATGCATTTGGGCTTGGATCCTGTAGAGCTTGCCAAGTCCTCTACACTTCCTACCCTCCTCTTCTCGTAAAACTTCTGTTTGCCAGACATTATGCCAAGCATTTAGAATGTATTCTCTTGTCTTTCTTTTCAGAAAGGAATGAGATGTGAATCTGTCAATATTTGAAGCTGTCTTTTTTGCTGCTCCTCTTGCAAGCGAGTCAGCAAGTTCATTGCCCTCAATACCAACATGAGCCGGGCACCAGGTAATGCTTAGACTCCAGCCTTTTGCTAGACTTCGAATTTGGTGAGAGTGGTAGTTAGTCTTTTCCATAATCCTCTGTAAGCTTGCTTAACTATCACTGAAAATTTGGTACCTTGCATTAGGTAGCTCCTTTTTCAGACGCTTAAGAGCTTTGTAAATGCAATAGGTCTCAGTGTTAGTAATTATCAAACTGTGGATAGTTTGAAGGCAATCAATGTCAGATATATGTGACGGTCTTAAAGTGGCGTTTTATTCAAACTGAACTCAGAGCTAGATACAAATGAAAATCTTAAAGTAACGAGCAGAGACATGACTGAAAGCCTCCTATTTATTTACAAGACTATGATCTCGTTCCCTCATTTCATACCATTCTCAAAATAGATCATGACCTGTCCTCCGACAAACACCAGCATCTCCGTCTATTTTAATTCAGCTTCATTTTAATGTTAGTAATTTTAGTTATTAAAATAGTTATGATGCATGTGGCTTAGATGACTCACGACTGGTGTTCGAGTCGTCCTGTCTGCAATCTAAATTTGTCATTTAAGAATAGATTTGCATGAACTGGGCCAAGGCCTATACTTGGGTCTAATGAGACGTGGAGGGGTTCATGACATGTATGATGTTTAATATGGTTGGAAGAGTTCAAGCCTTATTTGTTAGACAGCAGCCTAATGATAACCAGGTATGAGCCTGTGACAATATAAAGTTTAAGGAGTTAGGTTTACAAAGCTTGGAGTTACTTGTTTCGGAAAATGGTGTTTCGCTTGGGCTGTAGCAATAAGAACTCTATCTGTTCTGACTAGAGATGTTTTGATCCAAACCATGAGAAACTTGGTCTATGGGGACAAGTTGGGGACACATAGAGCATTTGCCAGTTTCTAGACGTTCATAATCTAGATAGTATTAGTAAGAGAAACGGCAGCTAGGAATTAATTGACACTTTTTACTTTTACTTCATAAATTTTTCAAGTGTCTTGTAGAGTCTAACAGTAATTCCCATGGAGTTTCCGAGATTGAATGAGTAGCTTGTTAGCTCTCTAGTGAATGGCATGTAAATTACAAAGCCAATGCTACTCATGTTACTTATGGAGAGGGATCCATCTGTGTAAGCAATAGCTGTCACAGACCAGCTTTCCCACGAGGAAAACGGCCTGCTTGTCACTACCATCGTGCCATGAGCTAATGCTGAGATGCTGCGCTTAGTCTGGTCAACCAAGTCAGGAACTTCCCTAGTAACATAGTCAATGCGTTGCGATGGTTACAATGTTATAATAGCAACAGTTACTAATCAACATAAGCAATCAGTTGCTGTGTTATAGCTGTAGACTACCATACCCCTGATTGTAGTAGCCGCTCTTGAGTACTTAAGCAAGGTCTAGGACTGGATTTGTCCTGTAACTTTTTGTCTTGTAATTATTCTAGACTTTAGATTGATCCAATTATTATAAGCTTTACCTTATACCCCGACTCTGTCCCGTTCCGCCTCCGTCCCGTTCCGTCTCTGTCTTATCTCGCCTTCGTCCCGTTCCGATCACATCCTGTCCCGACTCCGCCTCCGTCTTGTCTCGCCTTCGTCCCGTTTAGATCACATCCTGTTCCGATCACATCCTGTCCCGACTACATCCGTCCCGACTCCGTCCTGTTCCGACCCTTGACCTCCGAACTAGCCAACGAGCCTGACAATAGCCATATCAAGATCTAAAATCTGGATGAGTCTCAAATGTTCCCTATGAGCTGAAGTCTTGGTCAAGGATGAGATAGTGATGACCAGTGGGGGTGAGTCCCATGGAGCCATCCAGGCTGAGTTGTATTCTTCAAGCTCTCGGAACTTTCAGAATAGTTTGAGAAACATCCCTATTCTTGTTAGTTGGTTAGTTGGCTTATCTGCTTGATCAAAGATTCCAAGGTCCAATTCTGGTAGTGTATTCAACTCATCCTTCAAAGGCAACAACATGTGTTGCTGCACAGGGTGTGTAATCCGAAGTCGTAACAGTCGAAGGGCGTAGTTAAAGGCATGCTTCATCAGTCTGATTCTTGTTGGCAGGATAGCTGCTTCTACCTCGAGAGCCTTGATGGGGCTGTGCTGATAGGCACCAGTGATAAGAATTATAGCTTGATTCTGGAGCCTTTGACATTTATTGATGAGCATGCCAGATCCCCTTCTTCCTTGCCAAAGTATTGAGCCATAGTATAGCACTGAAGTGACACATGCTATATACAAGTGTCTAAGTGCTTTAAATCGAAGCCCCTTTGCAGATGATGCTAGTTGCTTGTTGGAAAATCGGTATGGGTTCGATGAGTAAGGCGGCTCAAAGAATATGGGCGCGATTTTATGAATAGAATTATAATGATATGAATCGGGAGAATATGTGATAAACTGTGGAGAAATAAAAGATGGTTTGAAATAAATTGAATTGAATTAATTATCTGTCTTAGTGATTCCTAGACAGCTTGTATACATGTAATCTTGATAGACCAAATCCGGACTAAATACCATCCATCACTCGTTACATACTCTAACAATGACAATGAAACGCACGACAGTATACAATATGAGTATGGAGTCTGGGTCGGTGGATGAAAGCCTACACGTGTATCAAACTATACCATGCACTAGTCGAGTCTCAAGCATCAAACATGCTCAGTAAGGGAGATATCAATCATCTAGATTGTGAGTCATGTGTGAGAATCTTAGTTGTTCCAATGTTGGAAATTCAGACACATAGAGTCTGAATTTCCAACATTGCTTCACTCTTCTGAGAGCCCCATTGGCTAGCTGGAGTCTTTTGTCTACATGTGTCTTGAAAGACAGCTTCCTGTCAAACCAGAATCCTAACCATCTAACCATTTGACTTGGATGTAATCCAACACCATTTTGAAATATATGTGATGCTGTCAGTGGCTTCCTATGTTGGGAGAAGTGGATAAACTCTGTTATGGCTCAGTATGACTGCTACTCAGTATAATGACTTGTAGTTGTGGCTTTACCACTGTGCCATAAACACTGGCCCGAACTGTGGAGGCCTTATCATATCAGGCGCCGACATTTAGTTGAGTCACGCTGGGCTGTACAGTTGTACTTAGTCAGGTGTAAGATGTAGCTTTAGTTCTGTAGTTTTGCAATCTGTATTATTAGTCCACAAGCTATTCTTGTCCCCGTTCGTTCTGTAATACTCTCGTGCAACGTCGGCCAGTTCCCAATCTCGAAGACGGCTATCTCTTCACATACCAGCCGTAACATTTTGCAAAACTCATCTCACCAATTAGCACGAATCACTACTTGAGCGCCCACAATGTCCATGGAGGACCAGGCTTAGAAATCAATAATGGACATCTGGGAAACCATCGTGTCTCAATCATCCCTTCTTGGTCTCGTAATACCAATTGATGTGCCTGCAGAAATACGGCATATTGTTAACCGTGCCTTCGTTGCAGGCAAGGCTTCTGGATCTGGAACTGTAATCAACTACAGTGAGCTGTATCCTACTCCCTATACGGATATACAGAAACAAGTAATCAATGACACCTGTTTTCTTGGACAAGGACTTTCTATTCAAGCCTTGCAACCTATCACTCACTATTCACCATATTCTGAAACCCACAACTCCTCTATTCCCAACTTTCCCAACCCTGATAAATTTGATGGAACCAGGTCACAATTTGGCTATTTCATGACGCAGTTGCAACTATTATTTCGTTCAAATCCATCTGCATTCAGTTCGGATATATCCCGGATTCTATTGGCTGGATCATATCTCACTGGTCCGGCATTTATGTGGTTTAAGCCTCATGTTAGCCAAAATAACGGTGATGTATCCTTTAAATCTTTCGCTACTTTCATTGACGCTCTCCGAAGTGCATTTGATGACCCCGACCCGTACTCAACTGCAGAGAGGGAATTAAACTCTATATGTCAAACAGGCTCTTGTTCGACTTACTTTGCTAAGATTTCATCTATATTCTCTCGACTCGGCTGGTCTGAGCAGAAATGTCTCATCCACCATTTCAGAAAAGGGTTAAGGGAAAATATCAAGGACGCATTAGTTGGAATGGATAAACCTGAATTGTTTGCGGAATATGCAGCCCTATGTATATCCCTAGATAACCAGCTATACGCTCGACAGCGTGAAAAGGAGCTGGAGATTCAAAAAACATATACAAGGCGCGAGAACGCTCAGTCACACCGATTTTCGAATATTCCCATGCCATTAAATTCTTCGTCACCTGCCCCAGCTTCACTAACTCGTGATACAAATTGGCTAGACAACTTAAAGGTGGAAAGAGCAGCTCGAAAGGCCTTTAGATGGAAACATGGATTGTGTGCCTATTGTGGAAACAAAGGCCATAAAATACCTACATGCCCCGATATTTTGTCTCGCCCAAATCAAAGCTTATTCTCACAGCCATCGAGTGTGGAATCTGAGGACCCAATCTCCTATCACCATGAAACAATATCTAGAAAAAACAAATTTTACCATTCTGCTGTATCTCTCTACAATAAATCCGAAATTCACTCTTTTGACTTGGGGAATGAAAAACCCCTCACAATCACATCCGTTTTAGAAAGTAGTATAAAAGCTCTTACAATGTTAGATTCAGGAGCTTCAACTTCGTTCATCGACGAGCTCTTTGTAAAGAAAAATAATCTCATCTCAAGGAAGAAGAAGATACCACTTGTGGTAAGGGTAGTGGATGGTCGACAATTATCCTCAGGACTTATTGCCCACGAAATTGATTTAATGCTGTCAATTGCAAACCAATCATAAATTTTAACCTTTCAAATCACTTGCATTGCTCGGTATGATATAATTCTCGGTAAATCAAGGCTCTCTAAACATGATCCTGAAATTAAGTGAAACACAAATAATGTGTTATTTACCTCTTCCCATTGTAAACAAAATTGTATTGTGCCTTCGTCTTGTCCTTCGCCTCGTCCTTCGTCTCGTCCTTTGTCTTCAACTCGCCCTTCGCCTCGTCTTTCGTCTCGTAGTTCGTCTCGTATTTCGTATTCAAATCGCCTCTCGTCTCGTTCTCTCAATGTCCCATGTTCGCTAGAATACAACTTTAAATGCCAAAAAGATATAAATAAATCAGAAATCGATGATGATAATGAACTTCAACCGCAAATTCCTCGCCAATTCCATGAATTCTTGTCCATTTTTTCTCCAAAGCAAGCAGAACAACTACCACCACACCGGTAAATTGATCACAGTATTCCGGTAGATCCAAACGCAAGGCTCACCCTTGGCCCGCTGTATTCAATGTCAGATAGTGAACTTGAGGAATTGCGAGATTATCTGCAAGAGAATCTCAGGAAGGGGTTTATTGAACCATCGACTTCTTCGTTCGCATCGCCTGTCCTTTTTGTTAAGAAACCAGGGGGTGGTCTTCGTTTTTGCGAAGATTATCAATCACTAAATGCTGTGACGTTAAAGAATGTATATCCCTTACCCCGGATCGATGACTCTCTTCGACAACTTCTCAAGTCAAAAGTATTCACTCGGCTTGATTTGCGAGGTGCATATAATCAAATCCGAATTAAACCAGGAGATGAACCGAAAACTGCTTTACGCACTCGGTATGGACTGTACCAATACAAAGTCATGCCATTTGGACTTACAAATGCTCCTGCAACATGTCAACAATTTGTTAATGATGTGTTACGAGAGTACCTAGACATCTTTGTAGTAGTTTACCTGGATGATATACTAATATATTCTGAAGACATAACAGAACATGATGAACATGTAAAAAAGATTCTCAGTAAACTGAAGGAGTATGAGCTATTTTGTAAAGCTGAAAAATGCGAGTTTGCTGTGAAATCCACTACATTTCTTGGATTTAGAGTCTCATCTCAAGGTATCACTATGGATAATAGCAAAGTTAAAACTATTCAGGACTGGGACCCCCCTAGAAATGTTCGGGGTGTGCAATCCTTTTTAGGATTTGCCAACTTTTACAGGAGATTCATTTCTAAGTATTCCAGTATAGCAGCTCCTCTTTTTAATTTAACAAAAAAAAAGGTTAAATTTCTTTGGTCTCCCTCATATCAAGCAGCATTTGATATGTTGAAAAAATCATTTACCACTGGACCTATTTTGCAACATTTTGACCCAACTTTGGAGACTATTTTGGAAACTGATGCATTAGATAAAGTCATATCAGCAGTCCTTTCACAATATCATGTGGATGCTGGAAACATCAAGCGACTACATCCTGTTGCCTATTTCTCTCGTACAATGGTAGCAGGAGAAGTAAATTATACAGTTGGAGATAAGGAGCTTCTAGCTATTGTGGAAAGTATCAAAGAATATCGACAATTTGTCTATAGCTTGACTTTGCCAATTCGAATTATTACAGACCACAAGAACCTAACAGCCTTCACAACTAAACGCATACTTAATCGAAGACAGGCCCGATGGGCATTAGAACTTGCTGAACTTGATTTTCGTCTCGAATTTCGCCCTGGAATTAAAAATGGAAGAGCCGATGCCTTAACTCGTCGCGCAGAGGACTTCGCTGTAAAGAACGAGACCGAGCCTCAGCATGATTTGATTATTGCACCCGAGAAGCTTATCCAGTGTCTTCCCGACAGTAATAAGAACACCTTAGCAGTACTTTTTACTAGTTTAGATTCGATATCAGAAGACCCTGCGCCTATGCTTGAAGTATCATTGACAAAAGAATTTAAAAAAGCCATCAGTTCTGATATTTTCGGTCGGGAGATTATTAATGCACTTCAGTCTTCTGCATCCAGGAACCCTCGTATTGATCTAGGTTCCTGCCAATTTAAAAGCAACTGACTTTTACTTTTATCTGGTTTGATTTATGTGCCCGAGTCTCTTCGAACAAAGGTCATTTCTAGTTTGCATGATCATCCAGCTGCAGGTCATCCTGGTAGAGCAAAGACGTTCGAACTGGTATCTCGAAGCTTTTGGTGGCCTAAAGTTAGAGCCACAATTGAACGTTATATTAGAAATTCTGATACTTGCTCACGTATCAAACCAGTTCGTCATGCTCCATTTGGTTACCTTAAGCCGCTCGAAATTCCGCAAAGACGATGGGAGGCTCTTTCACTCGACTTTGTCTCTGGTTTACCAATTTCTGCAGGGTGCAATGCCCTACTAGCCGTTGTAGACAGATTAACTAAAATGGCACACTTCGTGCCTACAACCACAACGTGCAACGCTCAACAGCTAGCCATGCTGTTAAGGGATAACATCTTTCGTTTACATGGACTTCCAGAATCAATTGTTTCAGATAGGGACCCTGTTTTTACATCTATTCTTTCAAGGGAAATGGCATCATGCCTCTCCATACAGCTTCGTTTCAGTACTGCGTTTCATCCATAGACCGACGGACAGACAGAGAGAGTAAATGCAGTGCTGGAGCAATATCTCCGTGGATATTGTAATTATCAGCAGGACAATTGGATGGATTACCTTTCTATGGCAGAATTTTCGTACAATAACACAATTTCTTCAACAACCCGAGTCTCACCTTTCTTTGCAAATTATGGTTACAATCCCCGCTATCAACTACTCACACAGCCTCAGAAAACTCCGCAGACTCTTGAATTAAGGGAGTTTCGCAAATGTCTGGAAAATCTTGAGGAAATGCTCAAAGTCGAAATAAGATATGCTCCAGATATTGCGGCTGAGAATGCTAACTTATCCCGACTTCCACCACCGTTATTTCAACCTGGAAATAAAGTCTGGCTCCTGAGGCGGCATATCTCTACAACACGACCTTCAAATAAACTAGATCATAAACGGCTGGGACCATTCAAAATTCTCCAAAAGATCTCATCCCATGCTTTTAAGCTGGAACTTCCTCACACAATGAGAATCCATCCGGTTTTCCATGTTTCTCTTCTCGAACCAGTAGCACACGATCCTCTTCCTGGGTAAAGGAATCCTCCTCCGCCACCAATTATAATTGATGGAGAAGACGAATTTATTGTTGAAGAAATTCTTGATGCCAAGCCACGAGGTCAAAAGCCGTTTTTAGTCAAATAGCTAGGTGAAGCAGTGCCAACCTGGGAACCCTATGAATTTGTTAAAGACTTGGCAGCTCTTGATCAATTCTACTCTAGATATCCACATATAAATTATATTCGCTCGTAGGAACTTCGCACTGTGGAAGGGGAGAATAGTGTTATGGCTCAGTATGACTGCTACTCAGTATAATGACTTGTAGTTGTGGCTATACCACTGTGCCATAAATACTGGCCCGAACTGTGGAGGCCTTATCATATCAGGCGCCGACATTTAGTTGAGTCACGCTGGGCTGTACAGTTGTACTTAGTCAGGTGTAAGATGTAGCTTTAGTTCTGTAGTTTTGCAATCTGTATTATTAGTCCACAAGCTATTCTTGTCCCCGTTCGTTCTGTAATACTCTCGTGCAACGTCGGCCAGTTCCCAATCTCGAAGACGGCTATCTCTTCACATACCAGCCGTAACAAACTCAGTTTTATCCATCTCAAAGGTGACTGACAGCTTGTTAGCTCTTAGGATTAAGTCATCTGTTGCAGCTTTTAATAGTCGGATATTTTTGTTTGCTGATGTTGATGCCACTGATATTGATAGGTCATCCATCCATTGTTCTAGTTTTACGTCCTATGCAGTATCTATATACAGAACCATGAAGACCGTAAGCCATTTTGGTAAGGGAAAAAGCTTTCAACAAACAAAGCCTGATGTCCTACCACTCAGTAACACTCTGTTGTGAATACCTTGGGTCAGCTCCAATCGAGCCTCATCGGGCTCCCACCATCGCAGCACTCGGACAATCGGCCGCAGTAAGCTAGATGAGATTAGGACACTGATAGCACAGCTAATTGTTGGAAATACAGTTTCCTGCTTTTCTTTCTATCGACCAATGTGGTTGCATGCATCTTGCCTGAACTATAATCTGAGTTCGGGCAGGATCCCACACTTCTGATCCAATCGGACTCAACGTTAGAGTCTGCTTGAATCCCATTCTTCCCGAACAAATCCAGACATTGATTGTTCGTACTTCTATTGCTTGACCCAGTATTCTCAGTCAGTGGATAATTATTTTCTGGTACGGGGTCCCACTTATTTCTGCAGTCGAGTCGGTTCCGGGTAACCTCTATTTCTTATAATTCCACTGTATATATCATAATACCTGTAGTCTATTAGTTAATTAAGCAAATTGAACTTCTTCTCTGTTCTCAGGCAATTCTTACTCCGAAGTCTTCTCTATACTCTAACAAGAAGCATTGGTTTCAACTGTGATTTCCTTTTCTGGGTCAAAGTGGGCTAAGATAGGTGCCGTGGTAAAGGCGTTTATCAAGGCTTTAAATGCACCTTCGGTCTCAGCATCCCAGACAAAGGGGGTTATTTTTGCGCGTTAGTCGGGTCAGTGAGAGTGCTAATGTTGAAAATACGTGGACAAAACATCGATAGAAATTGGCGAGCCCTAGGAACGCCTGAATGTCTTTTACTGATTTTGGAGCGTCCCATTTTCTTATGGCATCTACCTTACTTGGGTCTATTTTGATAGCCTCCAGCTCAATGATCAGGCCTAGATTTGTTGTACTTTGAGAGTGAAATTTGCACTCTTCTGGCTTCAGAAGGACTCCTTTTTGCTGCAAAGCTTCCATCACTTTATTGACATGCGTCATGTGCTTGTCTAGGGTATTGCTATATATGAGTATATCGTCTAGGTATGCTGTACAAAAACGTCTAAATATTCACGAAGGCAGTTGTTAATAAAGTGCTGGAAGGTTGCAGGGGCATTG